ATACGTTTAGTCAAATTTGGTGGAATTTATTCACAATGCAGTAACACTTGATGGCAAAACTCTGGAAGAGGCGGAAACATTCTCGTACCTGGTCAGCATCATCGATAAACAAGGGGGATCTGATGCAGATATAAATGCACGGAATACAAAAAAAGGAAGCACTCTCACAGATGAACAATATATAGAACTCAAAACAACTACCTGAGAGCCAACAACAAAATCAGAACCTTCAATAAGAACGTCGAGACAGCTATATGGTACGGAGCTGAAACTTTAAGAACTACTACAACTACTACAAGTATTTATAAACAATTGTCTATACAATATACTAATTTTCCGTTGACCGGATACCATCAGCAATAATCTACTGTCAGAGAGAACAAACCTGCTTCCATTTGAAGAAGAAATTAGGAAAACACGTTGAAGGTGAGTGGAACGTACATTACGGAAATCATCAAACTGCATCACGAAGCAAGCGCTAACTTGGAATCTTGAAGGGAAACGAAAAGTGGGAGGCTAAAGAATACAATGCGTCGGAAATTGGAAGCAGACATGAAAATGATGAATAAGAACTGGTAACAACTGGAAAAGATAATGGAGGTGGATGGCCTATGCTCTTGGACGAGGGGTGACAGGCATAAGAAAGTAAATATTTTACAATTATTTTGTCTATATGAACAGGTAATTAAATAAAAAAAGAATAGTTGAAAGAGATGATGACACAGTTAGTCACTTGAAACATGTGCAAATTATGAAGCTATAACTTAACCCATCCTAGCCTTTGGGTTAATGACATCCATACAAGCAAAGTGTTAACATAAACTGTTCATCATAAAAATATAAAAATGATCCATGATTATTATCATTAAATTTCAGATCATATTTTAAATATCGATCATCATCATGTGTTACTTTTCCATGAGATGTATCCAAATAAAATTTTAGCAATCAAATTGTAACATTATCAGTACAATAACATGTAGCAATACATGTTATTAACATTATAGTATATGTAGATGATTGATGTAGACAGTTTTCTTTTCCCCACTTTATTTAAACAAAATTAGACATTTGGATGATTTTGTAAAAATGAAAATGTATGTGTAAAGTGCACTTGAAAACAGCTGTTCTTTATATGAATTTATCTTACAAAATAGATTATGTGAAGCTGTGTAAAATGTCAAGAAACGTTGTTTTCTTAAATTAATGAATAGACCTTGAATGAGAAGCAAAATCCGACTCATACATCCTCATCGTGCCTCCTGGATAATGGGACTGTTTCCATGAGCTAATGTGAGCGGTTAATCGTAGGTGGTGGAGATCGGCCTAATCAATCACTCTACCAATACCCAAAAAACGATTACGAATACTACAAAAAGTCATTGCATAACTATTGAGGGTTCAAAAGAGTGGTAAAATAGAAATGAGTGTGCCCAAATAAAAAAAGACAAAAAATGGGTTGTGAGAGTTATGTAATGGTTCTGCGTAAACAGTGCAGAAACAGCTATCCCGTCGAGGTAGTTGTGCCGTGCTTCGACGTAGCACTCTTCTCCAGAAGGGCCTACTAGGCTTCATCATTCTATATGGAAGGAAGACCTTGGATACTCTTTCATTAATAAAAGAAATGTTTACTTTATTAAAAACTGTGATGATTAGTTAAAGATCCAAACTAAGATTTGGCTGAAGAATAACTGTCTGAGTAGATTATTCACGTGTTATTGTCCCTTTGAAATAAGAACAAGGTGATTGGGGAAACAACGGTTCTAAACAAGTATTACCACTCAGTTATTCAATCAATAATTGTTCTCTCAATAATCGATCGAGCGTGCCAAAAGATAAGTGTTATTCTATCCTTTCTGGATAGATCAAGTAAAAATCCATACAGAAAAACTGGGTATACTGCGAAAGGTACTGGGCTCGAGTCCCAGAGTAAATATCAACTCTGTGATGCAGGTGCATCCAGCTGACGAGTCCCAAATAAGACAAAACATGCGTCTTGGATTCCACTGCTAGCCACTATCCATCTTTGCTTACAATGCTTGTGAAATAAGACTATAACGAGGCAATTTCCACAGTATGCACATATGTCAATAAGAGACTGACTAGTTGCAGCCCTAAACATCAATGGGAAGATTCAAACAAGTAATACCAAGTGGATTCAAAATATAATAATTTGTTGCTTTTTAATACAAAGTGTTTCTAATTCTGGAAAAGTGATTTAATTCACAATGAAAATGCACAATCCCAGTCAACTCAAGTAACACAATCAAAGGAGGAGCAATCAATATGGCTATCGCCAAGTTTAAGTATCAACTAAAACAACATAAATACAGCTCAAGAAGAAACAATAGAAACTCAGAGAAAACTATAATAAAACAAAATATTACCATCTGAAATAGCATCAAAAAGGATAACAAAGTGTACAACTAAAGAAACCAATAAGAACAAGTTACAAATGTATGCATGGAGGGATTTTCACATTCAAAACCTTCAAAATGGATCTTACAATTAATAGTATTTGAATTATAATACAAACTAAGAATCTCAGAAATAACTTAATTTAACCAAGATGTATTAGATGATCACAAACAAACGTACTGTATTTGAAATTCAAAATCAGACGTTCATCAAGTACAAAGGAATCAGATTGCCAGGCGAAACGTTGGATTTACTTCAAATTCATTCGCTAAGATTTTACAAATATATTCTTCCTATTTAATGTCCTTATATCAACTCGGCGCTCGAATACTGTGAAACTATTTGCTCTGATTTAGACGGAAGGAATCATTATTAGTTCATATAAAACACCACAAAAACCCTTCTAGTGTTGACGTTTATTATGTATTGATTCAAATAGTTGTTTTTTTTTTGGTGATTCATTTAGTCTATAGACCATTTAGTTTTTATTATCAAAATGGTTGAAACTAATGAATCATTGAAAATAATGTTGCTTATTGTCTATTGTTTTAATGTACTACGGTAATTCTTATCATTGATTCAAAATCTTGTTTCCCTGGGTAAAAGTTTAAAGTGTGGAGAGATAAATTAAAAACTGATGAAGTCAATATTCAGTTCACAAATTCTCTACAAGGCATAAAAATGTATGAATTTTAATCAAACCAACCGGTGTTTTAATGGATGACTCAGTAAAACAAAAGAAATCTGAAAATTAAGTATTTGTTAATTACTAAGCTATGTATTTTTCTTAAAAGCATATTCATTTATGATGTTGCCAGCAATCTTAGAAAATAACTAATCTTATTTATATGAAGTAAACTTGAAAGTTGAAGCTTCTCTCAAACTTTCACTTGCTTTGGTTTTTTGTTCAATTGTTCAAGATTGTAAGTATCAGGAATCCGGCTGGATAGTTCGTAATTTAGGATATATTGATTAACAAAATACTCATAAATGCGTTTGTTTATGAGAAGCAAGTGCTTAGATCATTTGTATTTACAAATGTCCTTTATAGTATCTTTTGAGAAAAGCTATTATTTGAAATTTTCCTCTAAGCAACTGAAGTTGACTGATAGGATTCAAAATTATATGGTAATATTGAACAGGATTGAGGAGGAAACAAAAGGTGAATACAATTGCATCACTCTGACCAATCCTGAACCATATTATCGATGGAAACACTTAGACATGTGATCAGAATTCAATGCATAATATGCTATTTGCTTACACATTTAAAGCATTATTAAGAACATACACTTTCGTAATTATTTATCCGTATGATTCTTTGAAACATTCCTCCTTAGGTTAACAAATCTAGTAGAAATAAAATTTTCTCCTGAAAGTACTGGTTTTGTTGGAGAGGAAGCAAATTAATATGAAAGATATATAGATTTGCATAATTGAAAGCATGGGTCAATTGAAGCTAGACCACCAAGGAAAACCTGGAAGCACTGTACGGCCGTTTCGTCCTATCGTGGGACTCCTCAGTAGTGCGCATCCACGATCTCGCCTAGCAAGATTCGAACCCAGGACCTACTAGTCTCGCGCTAGAGCACTTAACTGAAAGACCACCGAGTCAGCACTATTCTGATATATAGATTTCCTTTCAGAAAGAATTGATATATGGGTTAAATATTTGACAACTGGAAAGAACTGGAAAGGATTGCCCAGGATGGGGTTTGATGAAGATCACTTGTGTGCGGCCTATGCTCCTCCAGGTGTAAGTAAATAACTAAGTATTGATTACAAGACAGCCATAAAAACGATCAATTATCGTAAACATATGTCATATCATGATTTGTAAAGGCATAAAATATCCGCAAATGACAATCAAACAAAATAAACAAATACTAGTAGACAGTTAATGTATTAAATTTTCAATTTCGATTTAAGATCTCATTATCATTTGATCGTAATATACCAAATGAATCACACGAGTTCCGTACAACTTTTCAAATGTTCTTTTGAGTTGAATAGTTCTTAAACATCAACGTTGTGAATAACTCATATTAGTCAAATTATTGTATAAAAACTTGTCCTTCATTAATGAAGACTTTAATATCAGTTTAGATAATATCTTATCCGATAGTGATTGCATAATCATAACAATTCAATTTTCAATAGTTAGATTACAAATTTCGATAGAGCAATAAGAAGACAAAGTTGAAATGTATAACTCTGTCTTTTCATTATTCTATCGAAATTTGTAAAATGGACTTCCAGATTTTCCATAGTGGTCTAGCTTCAATTGACTTATGATCTCAACTATATAAAATTACTAAATACTCCACTAAACCCCCGTCTGAAGATGACCTAATTGCTTTCAATTAGGTTACACATTTTTGAATCCTACATCAATTCAAGTAAACGGGATGATATCACTTATTCAATTCAAGAGTAATATAAAGCAAATGACATCTTTCAGTGAAGGAATTTTCAAATGTAAATGTTTAATGAATAACTAACAGAAAAGGGAACATTTCAGAAGATATTTTAACAAATCAATCTCAAATGTAATTTTATCAAAATAGTTATCCAAAACTTACCGAAGTTACTGAATAAATAGAAGCAGTCAGTACAATTCACACAGAAGATTCTTTATTCAAATGTAATTGTATTTGGGAATATAGTTTCTACTGTGTGCTTCTAAACAGTCTCTATTATATATTGACACCAAATTGTTTTAATTACCATCTTAGAAATTTTGTATATATTTGTAAAAATGAAATTACTTTAAGATATATCATTGTGTATATTGAGATTTCTATTTCAGCCCGTATATCATTTAGTGATAAATTTTGATTGGTTCACTTAAAAAATTTCTTCCTTATTCACCATAGAAATATGCACATTCATTATTATGTTATATTGTGTGCTAATACAAATATATATCCAGTCATCCATTTGGTCATTAGATCAATGTCCTATTCCTTCCTCTGTTTTGTTTTTTACAAAGTTCCGACTAAATCAATAAAAATAAATCGATTATGTCTGTAAAAAAGTGTTTATTAGGAAGTTAACTGGACTGGGAAACAGGGAGAGAGAGAGAGTGAAATCGTTGAGATGGTGGAATTTAGGAAGGGTGAAGATTAACGTTTCGTAATCTAGTTAAAATTTTGATATTTAAAAGGCAACTGTCTAGAATTAGTTGAATGTAGTTGACTTTTACAAGGGCGATTTATCGTATTTTCCGAAAGAAGAAAAAAAACAAGCAATTATAGTGTTGCATTCCATTCAGTAAAGTTATGCATGACTTTAAAGTGGGTAATTAGAATGAAAAAATTGGATAACAAACAATAATCTATTTTCTTATTCTAGACAATGATGAATCTGTGACAAGCTATTAAAACCTTTGTTCGATACTAAAATAACTAAATATAGAGGATCTGTTAATATGGTATACTGTATTTAGTTTCATTATATCATTTCCTTTCAGTAAATGTCGCAGCAGCATCTGCATCAATAGGCCTCCACATTCACAAAGGAAAAAGCAAGATTCTCAAATGCAACACGGAGAACACCAACCCAATCACACTTGATGGCGAAACTCTGGAAGAGGTGGAAACATTCACGTACCTGGGGAGCATCGTTGATAAACAAGGAGGATTGGATGCAAATGTAAAGGCGAGGATTGGCAAAGCAAGGACAGCATTTCTACAATTGAAGAACATATGGAACTCAAAACAACTCTCAACCAATTTCAAGGTCAGAATCTTTAATACGAAGGTCAAGACAGTCCTACTGTACGGAGCTGAAACGTGGAGAACTACTACGACCATCATCAGGAAGGTACAAGTATTTATAAACAGTTGTCTACTCAAAATACTTAACATTCACCGGTTGGATACTATCAGCAACAGCGTTTTATGGGAGATGACAAACCAGCTTCCAGCTGAAGAGGAAATTAAGAGAAGACGTTGGAAGTGGATAGGACATACATTAAGGAAATCAACAATGTGCATTACGAGGCAATCCTTAACTTGGAATTCGGAAGGGAAACGGAAAAGAGGAAGGCCAAAGAACACATTATGCCGGGAAATAGAAGCAGACATGAAAATGATGAATGTTAACTGAAAAGAACTAGAAAGGATTGCTCAGGACAGCGTTGGATGGAGAATGCCGGTGTGCAGCCTATGCTCCTCGATGAGGGATAACAGGTGTAAGTAAGTGAAATGGTCATTGCACATGGACTTATGAACGCGTTTTCTTTTGAAGTGATTTATCGCATCCAACTTAGATTTGGTAACTACATAGAGAAAGGAGCAGGTGGAAAATCCAGTAAAAAGAAACAAAATTTAAGTTACTGGAAAAAAGAACATGAAATAGCAATCTATTAGTTAAAAATTTCTATGGCTTATTCAGTTGTTGTTAACCTGTCAAGAAAGATGCCTTCAAAGCTTATCAACATATCAATTTGTTTATATTAGTTTTACATCAGTTTGTTTATATATTTATCATTTTTGATAACCTATTTAGTTAACTGATTGTTTCTTCTGTATCATAAATATACTTCTGATTGATTTTCTGACATGATATTAAACTTTTCAATCATTAAAACTGAATATATTTCATTTGGTATAACTTAAACTAATTCTAGTGGGAAGCAGTGACCAGTGGAGTTCAATCAAGTCTGTTGTAGAGATATCAACTCACTGAAGACAATTGGTGAACAGTTGCTCAAAATCGTGGATTGGTTAAAGTTAGACATTAACAATGTTGGATGCCGGCTCAGTAGTCTGTCGGTTAAGTGCTCTGGCGTGAGACTGCTAGGTCATGGGTTCGAATCTCGCAAGTGCGGGATCGTGGATGCGCACTGCTGAGGAGTCCCATAATAGGGCGGAACGGCCGTCCAGTGCTTCCAGGTTTTCGATGGTGGTCTAGCTTCAATTGACTCATGATTTCAACTATGAAAATTCGAGTTCATCAAATAGATGTAATTACTTATCTAGGCCATATTGATATTATGACATGTCAATGAATACGTTCAGAGTTGAATACCAAAAATTGATTCATATTACTTATTAGATTCATTGCTCACTGTTTTGTACCGAAAAAGTTTTAACATAAAACTTAAGTCTCAAGTAAACTTTCCAAAATGATCTTATACATATGATTAGATATAATACTTCATAAGAATCTTTCATTTCCAAATCTGTTTCTCATTTCAAATATATAATCAACCTTATAGCTTCGTATATATATATCCAACAGGCTAAGTTTCTGAATACAGTATGATATTTATCGGAAAGGGGTTTTGTGGTGATTGTAATAATTGAGTAGTTGAATTCATGAGTCAATTAAAGCTAAAATATCATAGAAAACCTGGAAGCACTGGACAGTCATTTTGTTCTAGTATGGGACTCCTCATCAGTGCTCATCCACGATCTCGCTCGTGGGATTTGAACCCAGGACTTTCGGTCTCGCGTACGAATGCTTAACCTCTAGTTTACATTCAATGTTGGATGCACACTGCTGGGGAGTCCCATACTAGAACGAAACGTCCGTCCAGTGCTTTCAGGTTTACAATGGTGGTCTAGCTATAATTGACTCATTAATCCAACCATTAAATAACAGTTCAATTTATTTCCATTTGAGTAATAGAGAAACTAAATATGCATTGAGTTGCAATAGACCTCTATTAGGAGTGCATTTCTTTTTTAATTTCGTTATTGTTGAAAAGGAAATAAAGCATAACTGAAGTTATATGAAAGTAACTTATGGAGATCATATTTAAAAATTAAGTATTATTATCTATTTTTCTATTAAATTGATTTCATAATTAATTTAGTTTCCTAATAGTGTTATAAATCTATGCAAAGAAAAGGGATAAAATTACATTAAGCAATGCATAATTTAGTCTTGTTTAGAAAGATTTTTGTTAATGACTCAGTATCATCAACATTTCTACATATATATAAAAATATTCTTTAAAATTGATATAGCGGTTTCACAGTATTTGAGCGCCTAGTTGATATGAGACATCAAATAGGAAGAATGCATACGTAAAATCAACGTAAATTCAACATTTCAGCTGGCAATCTGATTCAAACTTTGAAGCTAGACCACCATGGAAACCCCGGAAGCAGTGAACGGCTGTTTCGTTCTAGTATGGGACTACTTAACGGTGCCCATCCACCGTTGGATGTCGGCTCAATGGTCTAGAGGTTAAGCGTTCGTATGTAAGAGTGAAAGTCCTGGTTTCGAATCCCGCGAGCAGGATCGTGGACGAGCCTTGCTGAGTAATCCCACAATAGGACGAAACGTGCGTACAGTGCTTCCAGGATTTCCATGGTGATTTAGCTTCAACTGAATCATGAATTCAACCATAAAATTACTAAAAATCTCCACAAAACTCTCTTCTAATAAACATCTAAATTATTGATAATTTTACATATACATTCTTCCTCTTTTATTTCTACATATATACATTCACTAAACTTATTATGTACATATAGTAATTAAAGTAAATGTTCACATCATATTTACTGTAACAGTATTCATTTTAATAATGGTATATGAAATAAACATTCGTGATCAGTATCTGTACATGCAGTTTACAAACATTTCCTCATAATTTATGTTTAAGAATACACGACTACTTTTGGTTGGCCGGCTTGTTTTTTTTTTTAATTATAGTATTGAATATGAGATAATCTGGTTGATAAGGCTATATATATGTAATCTCTTAGCCTATATGTACAAATAAAAAAAAACCCCACGGATTCTAATTCTGTTAAATGTCAGTTGGTCTAAATTCAGTTCATATTTAGATTATAAGAAATTAGATAGTGAAGTAAATCCAACTTGATTCTTCTTGTTAAGCATAACAGTTAATAAAATTTTTTAGAGATTTTTTCTAAATGACAGGTAGAAATCAAATTTGATAGTGAAATTATAATTTTATTGACTGTAGAGTTACTACCTATGAGGGGATTTGTCGTAAAAAAAAAGTATCAATATCCTAACCAACTTTTAGTCATGTACACTTTGTGAAAGAATTATTTCCACTGACTATCTATTATGTTTGATGATATTGATTCAATTTAGATGGGATATTCAATGAATTAGTTTTAATAACTACTTCACATCAAGCTGGATGTTTGTTCACATAGTTAAAAACACAAAATTTCAATAGTTAAATCAATTCATTAATAATAGTGTAGTGCCTTGCTTTGTAAATCGTTCACCTTGATACCAATCTTAACGGTGCATAAAATCAAAAGGCAAAGAGTAGCAGCAACTATAGTTTATTGCCAAATGACTCAGGCCAGGAAGCTACCAGCACCTAAGCGAATATTGACGAGCGAGGGAGCAGCAAGCGAGTAGCAAGCAATTACATAGGCAATTTATAGTCAAATTTAATAAGGGAACAGCAAAACAAAACAAAAGCTGATAATAGGATTTGTGTGCATACATGTATGGGGAGACGTATAAGTTATCGAATGATACTTAAGCAATCAACATTTGGTCTAGAGTCTGTCATGTGCTCTAGTGGTCATTACAGTACAAAGAATATGCAAATTGTTATTATCCAAATGACGATGTCTGTTAAGTAAGTTAATAAAAAGGGCTTAACCAAAATTAACCATTATCTAAAATGATTGTAGGATGGTTGCTACAATGGTAAAACATGTTATTTGTGATTGTTAAATTTCGTATAAATTTAATTAAGTAACCAACACTACTAAATGATCACTAGCTTAGTGTATGAGAACACAATGGTTTTGATAATCTTCTCTTCTTTACATGCTTCTTAATCTTAAAGTTTTTCATAATTCATTTTGTGGACAGTGACATGACAGATCTCAGCGATAACTAATTAATTTTAAGCTCATCAGAACAAGTTATAATTCATAGGTGAAGAAATCCTCATAGCTAACTTTTATCTAACGTTTTATGTGAATGATGTTTTATAGAGAGACAATCAAAACTTCACTATGAGGCCACC